GTGAGAGTGCCGTAGAAGGTGCTGTTTCAGCCCGTTCCCAGCCCACCAGTCCGCCACTCCATACAACGCGACGAACTGCGTGAACCGAGAGCGGGCGTCAATCAGCAACCTTCCTATCCACGACGCTTGACGTGTCGGGATAGTCTCGGACTCAAGTCACCCGTGCAGCCGAAGCTGCATGGGGACCGAGTCGAGAGGCGGACTTTCCACTTGCGTGGGAGGTGGCACTTGGGTGCATGAGGTGTGAGTGTTGATGTGTGGTGGGGCTATGGTGGTGGTTGTGGTGGAGGAGGAGGAGGAGGAGGAGGAGTAGGTAGGGAGTGAGTGAATGTGTGGTGTGACCGGCGGTTGTCTACCGCAGGTCATCGTGGATGCGCATGTGGCCGAATAGGCCCATGCGATGCCTGAAAGTGCGAGGGCAGTGTGGGTAGTTGAAACGAGCTTGTTGGATATAGTTGGGTGCACCAGGCACTGGTTCGCCAGTCTATTTGCAATGGATTCGCAAGTGACCGACTAGGCCAACGCGTGAGGCGAATGTGCGTGGACAGTGTGGGCATGAGAAGTCGGCGGTGTCAGTATTAGCTACAGAGGAGGCGGTGGTGTTGGCGGCGCGGACGGATGGAGCGAGGGTGGGGGGTGTGCACGGTGGATGTGTGGGATGTGGTGCGTGTGTCCGGAGTGCGGTCAAGGCCACACTCGTGGATGCGCATGTGGCCGAATAGGCCCATGCGATGCCTGAAGGTGCGAGGGCAGTGTGGGCAGTGGAGGCGAGTGCGGCGGGTGTAGGTTGGTGCTTCACGCATTGGTTCATCGGTCTCTGTGCGATGGATTCGCAGGTGACCGACCAGGCCGATGTGTGAGGTGAAGGTGCGGTCGCAGTGAGGGCAGGTGTAGTCCTGATCCTCATCCCTGGAGTCGGGGGAGGTGGTGGTAGTGTCGGTTGCTGTGCGCGGGACAGTCGCTTGAGCGGCCGCCGTTGGAGCAGTGGGCGAGGAGGAGGAGGAGGAGGAGAAAAAGAAGATGGAGGAGGAGGAGGACGAGGAGGATGGAAGTGGTGGGTTGGAAGAATTGTCAGGGTTATTTGGCGGCGGAGAGGAGGAGGAAGAGGCAGGCGGGGGAACGATGGTTGGCGCAGTTCGAGAGGCGCAGTTGATCCGAAGATGTCCAACAAGTCCGATTCGATCCCGGAATGTCCGTTGACATCGAGGACACGTTGGAAGCGGTTGTGCGGCGGCGTTGCTTACTGGACGAAGTTGTGATTTGCGGGCTTCACGATTCGCTTTGGCATCAGCGATGCGGTTGGCCTCGTAGATCGCAGCGCCTGTCTTCACTGTCCTCCTCCAGGTCGGTCGATCGAGTGCGACCTCCTCCCAGTTGGTGGGGTTGATTTGCAGGCGTTTCAGGGAGGACTTCAGGGTATCCTTGTAACGGCGAATCTGGTCTCCTTGTCGGCGAGAACCGGTCGCGACGTCTCCGTAGAAGAGTCGTTTGGGTATTCGCTCGTCGTCCGTGCACACCAGGTGGCCGCTCCAGCGCAGCTGAATTTGCCTCAGTATGGCGTAGATGCTGAGGATTCCCGTCCGTTCCAGCACATCAGTGTCGGGGATTCGATCCTGCCAGTTCGGCCTCAGGATGCGACGAAGACGACTGAGGTGGAAGTAGATCAGACGGCGTGCCTGCTTTACGTACACCGTCCAAGTCTCCGCTCCATACAGTAGTGTCGGCAGGATGGCGGCCTTGTACATCTTCAGCTTCGTGCTTAGCGGAAGACCGTGGCGATTCCAAACTGTGTTTTGGAGGCGACCGAAGGCTTGACTGGCTTTCGAGATCCTGTTGGCAACTTCGTTGTCGATCTTGGTGTTGCGGGAGAGAGTACTGCCCAGGTAGGGGAAGTTCTCCACCACTTGCAGTTGGGTCCCATTCACGCTGATTTGCGGCGGCGCGTTGCGAGCTGTGGCTGAGTTGGGTGGCGGTTGGTGCATCACCACCGTCTTCTGTGTGTTGATGACCAGACCGAAGTTCTCGCAGGCGGCGGAGAATAGGTCCATGCACCGTTACATCTCCTCTCCCGAGGTGGTGTTTAGGGCGCAGTCGTCGGCGAAGAGGAGTTCGTGCACGGTGGTTGTGGATACGCGCGATTGGAAGTGCATCCGCCGTTGATTCAGGATGTGACCGTCCGTCCTGCAGGCGATACGGATCCCGGGCGTTCGTCGCGCAGACGTCCATCAACATGACAGAGAACATAAGGCTGAAGAGGGTAGGCGCCAGTACGCGGCTCTGCTTCACTCCGTTGGTCACTGCGAATGCCTCTGAGACAGCTCCGTTGTCCGTGACTCGCGCCATCATACCGTCGTGCAGCTGACGCACCATCTGAGTGAATCGCTCCGGACAGCCGAATTTCTGCATGATCTTCCACAGTCCTTCACGATTCACCACGTCGAAGGCTTTGGTCAGGTCCACGAAGGTAGAGTACAGGTGGGTCCGCATCTCCTGACACTTCTATTGAAGTTGACGGGCGGCAAAGATCATATCTACGGGCCCACGATTACGACGAAAGTCGCATTGGCTTTCCGGCAGAAGGCCCTGTTCCAGATGGTTGTTGAGGCGGTGGAGAAGGATTCGTGCGAAGATCTTCCCGGCGATGTTCAGCAGGGAGATGCCGCGGTGATTGTCGCAGACTTGGCGATTCCCTTTGCGCTTGTAGAGATGCACGATGGTTGCGTCTTTGAAATCTTGCGGGACTTCACCTTGACGCCACATCTCTTGGAAGAGCGCAGTCAGGTGATCCATCAGTTGGGGACCTCCGTGCTTGTAGACCTCAGCAGGAATTGCGTCCGATCCGAGTGCTTTCCCATTGGAGAGTTGCTGCATGGTCCTGATGGTCTCCTGGAGAGATGGCGGGAGGTCGAGGTCCACGTTGGTCTCCACTTGCGTCAAACGCTCGATGGCGGCGTCGGAGATGACGGAGGGGTGGTTGAGGACGCCGCGGAAATGCTCGGCCCATCGCTGTAGAATTTGCGTCTTCTCAGTCAGGAGAGTGCTGCCGTCGGCGCTGAGGAGAGAAGCAGTGCCCCTCGTCAGCGGACCGTAGACAGCTTTGATCGCAGAGAAGAAGTTCTTCCATTCGTTGTGGTCCGCGTACCCTTGGATCTCCTCAGCTTTTTGAGCAGTCCAGGCGTCCTGCATCTCGCGCAGTCGTTGCTGCAGTTGGCGGCGACTGCGGTATAAGGCAGCTTTGGTGGCATCAGTGGGGTGATCTACGTAGGCTTTGTGTAGGCAGTTCTTCTCAGCAAGCAGATTTCTGATGGCAGCGTCGTTGTCGTCGAACCAGTCCTGGTGTTGGCGGGGAACGCGACCAAGGACGGCGAGCGCCGTCGACTGGACTGTGTCTTTCAGTTGACACCAGCGTTTCTCCACGGAGGCGTTCTCGGCAGCGGCGGCGTCGTCGGCGGCGGCAGCGATAGGAAGGTTGTCTAGCCGTTGTGCTTGCTAATTGCTGAAATGAAGATGGTGAGCAAGCAAAGACAACAAGGCAATATTCAGCTTTCCTGGGGGTCGCTTACCTTGTGGTCTCCTGCGAGGCTGTAGGCGAATGCGCATCTTCGAAATGACGAGGCGATGGTCAGTCCACTCGTCAGCGCCCGCGGTCGCCTTTGTCACCAGCACGTCCCGCTGATCTCGCTTCCGGACGAGGACATAGTCCAGCAGGTGCCACTGGCGGGACCGAGGATGCCTCCAGTTGGCCTTCTCTCGCTCCGGCAGACAGAAGAAGGTGTTCGTCAGGATGAGGCGGTGTTCTGCGCAGGTGCCGAGAAGCAGCAGACCATTGTCGTTTGAGCCGCGGAGACCGTGGGGACCCAGCACTCCTCTCCAGGCAGTATGGTTTGTGCCGACGCGGACGTTGAAGTCACCAAGGACAATCAACTTGTCCGCCTTCGACACAGTCGCCAAGAATGCGTGCAGGTCCTCGTAGAATTTGTCTCTAACGGTGTCGGGGTTGGTCATCGTCGGAGCGTAGGCGCTGATGATGGTGGCGAATTCGCCTCTCCAGAGAGGCAGGCGGAGGCTCATCAGGCGATCGTTGATGTCCTGCGGCAGATAGGACAGTCGTCCCACGATGTCGTTCCGAATGGCGAAGGCGACACCCGCGTCCCGTCGCTCTGCCCTGGGTCGACCGCTCCAGAAGAAGGTGTAGCCGGCACCCACCTCCTCCAGTTGGCCTTGTTCGGAGAATCGGGTCTCGCTGAGTGCGGCGATGTCCACCTTGTAGCGCGCCAGTTCCCGTGCCACTAGCGTCGTCCTTCGTTCCGTTCGGTTGCTCCTCGGATTGCCTAAAAGGGAACGAGCATTCCAGGCTGCCAGAGTGAGCGGGCTCACCCTGCCAATCTGGTGACAACGAGTGGGGCGACGGGAAGGAGGTGGAGAAGAAGATGGCGAAGGAGAAGAGTAGGCAGAGGAAGAGAAAGAAGAGGTAGGATGAGGAAGTGAGCGAGTATTGTTGTTGTTATAGGTATTGTTGTTGTTTTGATTTTAATTGTTTCGACCATGTTTAGACGTCTGCGGCCCTGGCAAGCCTGAAGACGGCTTGGTGCCCAGCAATGTTTAGGCCACCTTTTCTAGGCCCTTCCCCTCGTGGAGGCTGGCAGTGCTATCCCTGAATAGGGCTGCCATGTGCCGTTGTGGCACGGCCGAACTCCACTATGGGGCCACGACTTCGGGTTGTAGTGGAGAGCGACTCGAATTCGCCGTAAGCCGCGGTCTCCGACGGCGTAGGTGGGCGCTTCAAGGCGATGTCGCTGTGGAGATCCATCCCGTCACCGGCTGTCCAGCGGCATGCAGAGACGAACCACGTCACGACGGTGCCGACGCAAGGTTCCATCCGACCTTCCATCCAGCGGAATCCGCAAACCCTGTGCACACGGCACAGCGCACAGGGCCCTTTCACATGGTTTAGCCCGCCGGTCGAGACGGTTGCCCGGGGCGTGACCGCTGAGCAGAGCCCAGCTACTTGGAGCCACAGGTGAGTGTTGAGTGCCAGCAAGTGAACGCCAGGCGTTGTCTCACCTGCAAGCAAGTGAGCGACCACCACGACCATCACGTGAACCCACCGCTGACACCCCTACACCCCAAGTCGATGTAATATGGCCTTAAATTCTGGCGAATCCTCGAGAACACACGCGGTGAATGTTGCATTCCAGCTTATACGGCGCAAGTCAACCTTTGTTTGGTTAAAACCGCCTCGCCATCTTTTACGGCTGACTGTGATGCCTCGGTCAGGTATAGAAATGAGTGAATACTCCCACTGTAGGATTACGTGATCACGTTTGCCGACACAGGTTACGACATCGGCGCTGTCAGTCGCCTTTGTCAGTACAAAGTCCAAGCAATTGGCTTATTACCCTTAACGTAGGCTGGATGGAGACAAGACGTGTTGGGTGAGGGATAATTTATGCATTGCTTTTAGGCGGCGGCGATCAAAATTTAGTTCCGAGTCTGGGGTGACACTTAAATTCACTTTTTTACTGGAATGAGCAGGCCACGTTTGATATAACTGAGCACACCCCTACCTTGACGCCCCAGTCTATCCTTTCTGAACAAATTAAAATCAGAGGGAGCGTGACTTCGCGATCGTCTGCGTTCATAGACAGCTAAGCTCCGGTTATGAGTATGATATCTGGCAAAGTTTGGCATACGCAAATCTTAAACTCATTTGGATAACAGTCTTCGCGCATTGGTAAGCATACATTTGGTTTTTTTGTTAGAGGACCGCTATGCCGTCATCTTTGTCATTTACTTCACCTGTAACGAAATACGAACAGGAATTATCTATATAAACCGCAACGGCCGCCTGATTATCTGGTTGTTGTATATAATCGGCTTTGTTTTCCGCTCCTTAGTCACAGTCTGAGCTCCTGGACTAACCGCCGACGTTTTTATCTCCCTGGCGGTGCATAAACCGACTGAAAACTCCCCTGTGGAAATATTTTAGTTGAAAAGGTCTTGGGGGATAAGGACAACCTGTTTATTAAACCTAGAACAATTCTGAGGGGTCTGGGACGCGGTGGAGTGGAGGGTTCAGTAGTGAGCCTTCAGAGTCTGAAGGCTTTCATTCCTGAGACTTCCTCGCTAGGTTTCAGCACTGGGTTCAGTAGACCTTGAAACAAGTCGAGACCTGCTAAAACGTACTCCTTACATGTGTCTACATTTGCCTCCTGAAGTCCTTGTATTGCCAAGCATTATTCTCGGGACGGCCTGTCCTTGTTACGTGACGGTGGTAAATCAGGAGTTTCCGGCGAATCCCTCATTACGATGCTCTGGTTTCCATCAACTTTAGGGACCTTTTGTTGAACTAGTTACGCAATGTCTCCGCGACGACCGTGTCAAATTGGTAACTTGTGGTTTTCCTCGACTACTTAGACAAGCTCCACTTTTCTACCTCAGCGAGTCCGTTTTTCCAAGCATATTGACATCGCCCGAATTCTGTTGCTATCTTTTCTGTCATCAGTCCACTTTAGCTTATATTCTTTCTTTGGTAAGATATCAGTTCGCTGTATTATCTGAGTGTCCTGCTTCTCCACAGTCCCCTTCCGTGAGACTTTGATCGTCTGTTTGTTACTCTTCTGGGGCGATTTAAGATCCTGCCTTATCATTTCTTTCGCGGTTTCCTCCGAGGTTTCAGAGTATGTGATGGTCTTTCAAAATCGAGATCCTTTCACTTTCTTCTGTGGAGAAGACCGGACAGTTGGCCGGTCATTGTTCTTCAGGTGTGTGGTTATGAATGATCAGTGTGCGCTACCAAACTCACATCCCAACTCAGTTTGCACTTTCGGGGTTTCGTTTACTACCTGTCTAGCGAGCGTGAGGTTGCCTGTTCAGGTGCTTGCTTCCCTTTTTTCCTGGCAATTTTTTTATTCCTGCAGATAGTGATTTCCTGAAAGGGTAAGTTACGCCATGCTGGGTGTTTGTTTTCCTCTTTTTCGGCTGTGCTTGAACCGTCTATTAGTAGTTGGATATTAATTAGCTCTGTCAGTTTCAATACGATCTGTTGACCGCCACTCTGACTTC